GACAAACAACAAGCGCTACTCTACACTGCTCAAAACTCACGTTTGAATCATCAATGGCAAATTCTTTAAATATGAAAATGTACTTACAGGCTGTGAGTCAGAAGCACCAGACTGTCCTTGCAAAGTTGGAATTGCCCCAGTTTATAGAAACAGCCTTTGTGTGTTGACGGCATTGTAGGCTACATTCCCAGATTCAGGAAACAGTCCTCCATAAAATGTGCTGCACACACTTGAATATTTGGTTTGAACTGTTCTGGATGTAAATAGTAAATACAACTTAACCACTGATTTCTAGTCGTGTCCTCTTTTGGAAGACCAAAGTAGTTCACAACGAAAGCAACAATACTACAGCGAGAATAAAAGTTATGCCTTCTTTCTTTACTTGAAAATTTGGGCAGAGTTTTGCAAATCTTCCCACACAGTGACGTAGACATGTGGGGGCGTGTAACGCGTGTTTAAACGAGGTGTTTTAGGAGGGCGTGGACGAATCTTAACTTTTATAAAGAATATCTCTTTGGGTTTGAGACCTTAGTCTTTGCAACTTTAGGGATCTTATCTATGCACTAACAGCTTGTAACACTCCAAAGAGAAAGGAAAACTTGAAATCACATCATATGACCCCTTTAACAATGATTAACTCAAGAGTGCTTTATTGATGCTTAAAGTTGTTTGCCTGATTAAGTACATGATATATTGTAACACAAGTTGAACTGTCTGTAAAACCTAAAATGTGCTTTATTTTAAAAATAAAATATTAAAACACGTTTTACAAATGAATTCTAACTTAATATTGTCAAATGAAATGTTTTGGCAAAAACAACCATGTTTAAAAATTTTCAGTTTTATTATGCATTGAATAATTAAAGAGTATAAACATTTCCTAAAGTAATAATTGTTATAAACCATGCCAGGGAAAATGTGCAGTCAGTTTTCATAATCAACCAGTGGGGTTTACTGAAGCATAATAATCGGCTGTACATTATCTCAATTATTATATGGCTACTTACCAAATATATAAATAAATTGACATTAAATATTGAATTGAGTTTAAATTATTAATGTGAGAAGGACATTATTAATGTAAGAAGGAAGAGACTGCATAGTGATATGAAACACATGAAACTAGCACAGTCAGTCATGTAGGGACAATTATTCAGTTCAGTGTAAAAAAATAAATATATTTATATTTTGGTAACACTTTATTTTAAAGACCAGTTCTCACTGTTAACTAGTTGCTTATTAGCATGTGTACTAATAGCATATTTGCTGTTTATTAGTACTTAAAAAGCACATATTAATTCCTTATTCTGTATGACCATATTTTAGATCCCTTAATACTACCCCATACCTAAACTTAACAACTAACTAACTATTAATAAGCAACAAATTAGGAGTTTGTTCAGGTAAAACTCTTAAAGGCAGAGTAAGTGATTTTTCAAAAACACTTTAGAAAACTGATTCGGGCCGAATCGCAAAACAAACTT